CATATACAAGAACCAAATACCTAATCTATCAAAACACACTATTGAAAATCCATGAATCAGCAGACAGCAGTATACACAAAGCTTTTAGAAATGTGAATAAAAGGGACCAGCAGATGGTATAATGGTTAAGTCTCTGGACTCTCGTGTAGTGGACCAGAGTTCAAGTCCTAGACCTGGTGGCTTAAAACTCGGGCTGGAAATGTGTGAAGTGTGGCCACCCCTGGGGCGGGGAGGGGATTTCTCGCTTCCCATCTCTCTGTCCCTCCAGAGGGCACACACGCCTTATAGCAAAAAAAAAGAAAAAAGAAAGAAAAGAAAATAACACTCTCTTTGAAAAAAAAAAGAAGGAAAGTACTACCAGAAACAGATAAAGTAATTTGGTGTTTTTCTTTCTAGAGAAGCAATAACTGGGGAGGGCTGAGGGGCTGGGACATGAGAGATTTTCCATATTTTTATAAGCAATTTAGCACTATGTGGCTTTCAAATCAAGTACCAGTATTTTTTATGCTAAGGGAGAAAATAATAAATAAATAAATAACCTACCATTCTTAGTGTCCTCCTTTGGCTTAATAGACTCCAATGAGCTCAGGCAGAAAGCTATTAATGCAGTTTATGGAGCCAGGGGGTCTGAGACACAGAAGATGAGAGGTTCCTGGTGTTGTAGAAGAGTAGTGAATCTTGGGTCAGAAGACCTGATTTCTAATTTTGGCTTTGCTACTGAGCTGTGTGGCCTGGGGCAAAATGCTTAAATACTCTGAGCCTCTCTACCCAATAAGGGTAAGTATTCAGACCCCATATAACCAGAGAGAGCATTACATTACATAGATCCCAACCCAGTGACACAAAGCTTATAGTGAAGATGTAAGGGGTAGGAACCTGGATGAAAGGTACAGGTTGGTGGGACATGAATCAGGCCCAAAGCCTAAGTCTAAGTCTCCAGACAAGGCAAAATCTCTCACCTTCTTGACACTGTTTCCAAGTTCCCTGATACCACAGATTTTAGGAATCTGTGGGCTCAGAGGTGAATGTTGCATGTATCAATCTACGTCCCTGTGTGAGGCTCAACCAGACCCATGAGCCCATCTGATTCTGTAAATAAGATTTTTTTGAACAAAGTCTTTCCTCATTCTGCCCAATTTTTTTTTAATGTCTAAATTACTTGGCTTTAGAATCAAATTTTATGCCCAAGATAGAAACCTCCAGGGTAAGACCCAGCTCACCACAATGTCAAGCTTTGTCACAAGGCTGATCACAGCTGTCATTTTGGAACAAGCAGACTCAGCTATCCTAAAAACCAGTTTAGCCTGAGGCAATTTTTTCCAGGCTTTGAGCTTTTAGAAGAGTTCACAGCTTCTGTTCATAGTCCAGGGTCTGGTTACTGACTATACCAAGGATTCCTTTGTTCCCCTCTTCTCCCTGGAATCAGAGCATACACTAGTTTATAAGTAGAGAGAAGTTTGATGGGTCCATGTACCCCTAAGACTGCCAAAGGACCTCTTCTTTCTATCACCCATGACTAGAGAGATCTACACCTCATTGTACACTATTATTCTCACTGGTGTGTTACAGTGAAGTTGTGAAGCACCCCTGAGCACAGAGAACCCAATATACACTCCAGACCAAACCCAAGGCACATTCACCAGTACAAGGATGCAATGGAGACGTTAGCATGTACTCTCCTCAAAGGTCCCAAGCAACACAGACTACTCTGTGTAGATGACACATAGAAGTAAATACACAAACCTACAGATTCGGTCCCCCCAAAAAATAATTAACTCTGTTACCTTATACTTGATAAGGGTTAATCATTATGTTAAGTTATACAATGATTAAATTAATAAATACATCTGGATCAGAGGAAACTTCCTATATATCAGCCTTGTTTCCATGAACACAAAACAAGGGACCTGAAGAAAGAGAGAAGACAGTAGGAGGAGGGTTAAAGGGGGTTAATTAGCCAGCAACTCAATGTTATTTGCCTTGAGTTCAAGTGATTCTCATTTTATTCGAGTGTCCTGAAAATGTTGATGGAGACTTTTTTTTTTCCATTTTGGGAATTTTTTTTTTTTTTTGGTCCAGTGAATAATTCTCAATTGTCTGCTTTTAAAAGTATTGTGCAATCTCTAAGTAACAATTCTTCAAAATCAAGCTGACACTGCCAACTCCCTCTGGTTGGGGTTTTCTGAATCACCTACAAAAAGACAACTGCTCTCCTGAGAGCCTGACTGCGACACTGGCCTGTATATCCTATGCCCTGAAGCATCCACTTCCTCAAAAATGTAGCCAGGGGGCTCAGGATATGAAGCTGGGCACCTGCCCATTTCCTTGGGAGTAAAACTGATGGCATAAGTGGTCTGGCTCTCCACAGGGATATTTCCTCGGGGGCCAGACCAGGGGGGCTTACAACTTTTGGTATTAATAGGTGGGTGGGGCACATAATGGGCCTGAGTGGTGGTCAAGCAGTCCAAGGGCTCAGAGGGCAGGTTCAGCTGGGGAATGGGCTTGACTGGCTCCCTACGCATATTGGTCCACTGCTTATAGTCGTCCTTGGTGGTGGTGGAGCTTTCAAAGCGGCCGCTCTTCTTAATGGGGAGCAATGGTCGGCAGGATTGAGCTGGGGCACCCTTGGGGTATGTGTAATGGGCCTGCACTGTTGTCAGAAGATCCATCTTCTCTTCAGGAGGGACATAGGTGGCAGGAGTTTTGGAGAACATCTGGGGCGTAGGCCAAGCTTGGTACTTATCTCGAAATTCAGTGGTGTTAGAGAAAGGTGTATCCAGTCCAGGAGGCCTAGCTGGAGGTTTCAAGCTCTTGGCAGGCTCCCCCATCAGGCCCCGGTAGGACTGTTTGTGGGTGGTAAGGCTCTCAAAGGGGATTTCACAGGGTTTGAACTTCTCTGCCTCGTGCACAAAGCGTTTCTCCAGAGGGTGGGCCACGTAGTTCATCTTATAATTAGTCAGATCCTCCAGGGGGATGTTACAGAGCTTGGGTATGGGTGGTGGTTTACAGCTTACAGTTTTCACAAGACCCTTGATGGGGTAGTCATCCTGGTGTGTGGTTCTACTATCAAACCTGGTTGATGCTGGCCGGTAGTTACGTTGTGGACGAAGGAGCTCTCGTCTTGGTTGGTTCCAAGGTAAATAATCAGCTGAAATTAAAGCAAAATTTAAAAATTTAATAATAAGTCAGTATTGCATGTATTCTAGAGTACCATAAGCTGGTCTCCACTGAAGTGCTCTTTGAGATAAGAGAAGAACAGAACAGGTCCCTGCTACAAACTCAACCAAGAGTCAGATATTTCAACTTTGTGGTACTTGCAGGCTACTGTGCAGAAGAAACAAATTTATAGGAGTAGTCATCACACTCCACAATGCTGCACGCAGAGATTCTAGAGGATCTGCTATCATGGGAGGATCTGAGGAATCCATTCCAGCAGAGAGCCCAACCACTGGCTGACCCTAACTCAGAACAAGACTTGTCTTCAGTGGGGAAAGTGGTTTCTCTGAATCAGCATGGAGCAAGAAGATACAGTCATGTAGTGAGAGAGGGAATTGATGACCCAGCACTGGTGTGCCACCAGCCAGACAAACCAGGCCTACCTGTTTGTGGAATGGCAGTCTCTGTCCATATAACCCTCCCTTCTAACCCAAATAAATCAAATATGCTGTTCCAAGAGAACAGGGTATTGCATTCACTGATGAAAAAAATGTTCTTTCTATTTATTTGGATTTTATATATAAAATTTAGGATCACTTTGCCAATTTCTTAAAAACAAATCCTGCTGGGATTCTGATAGGGGTTTCATTGAATCTATAGATCACTTTGGGAAGAACTTCATCTCGACAGTATTAAATCTTCCAATGCATGAACATAGAATGTCTTGCCATTTGTTTAGATTTAATTTCTCTTTTAATTGTGTGGTAATTTTTACTATACATATATTGGGCTAATATTTTAATTTATACAAAGCACACTATTCATTCTGAGTCTACTGGAAAGAGAACCATCTTTTTTTAAAAAATAAAAAGCTGTCTTTTTGTTTCGCTTTAATACTCAATGTTAGTACATAGAAATACCGGTCATATGTTCATATTTTTATATGTTGCTCAGTACTGACACCTTCCTGAACTCATTTTTAAATAAATATATAAATAGTTTGTCCAGAGGGCATATGAACTTGCCAGAGAAAGACAAAGAAACAGAGAAAGAAAAAGCATCCCCTGACAGGGCGTGGTCATATCACAATTCCTTCTCCTCCACTTCTCCATCCTGTCAGGATTTGGGACACACGCACACACCAGGCATGTCTTTCAATCCACCACAGTTGAGATTCAAACCATGACCACCCATGTGAGAGCTAGCTCCCTGAACCTCTAGGCTACAAGCTGACCCTAGTTCTAATAGTTTTTAATTATTCCTTAGGATTATCTGCATATCGTATTATGTTGAGAACAATGACAGTTTCTGATCCTTTCTAACATAGATAGGTTTACTTGTTTGGTTGTTTGCTTTTCTTGCAACATTTCACTGACCAGAACTTCCAATAGAATGTTAAATAGAAGGGGTGAGAGTTGACTCCCTAGCCTAGCCTCGTTCCCAATCTTAGTGAGAAAACATGCATTCTTTCCATATTAAGTATCACGGTAGCTAAGGGAATTTCCGTGGCTGTTCTTTATCAAGCTGAGGAAGTTCCCTTCTATTTCTAGCTTTTTGAGAGCTTTATGAATGTCAGGCCTTGTCAAGTTCTATCAACAATGTAGTTTTTCTATTATTTTATTAATTAAGTATATTAATTAATGTTCTGATCATTATACCAACCTTCCATTAGTGGAAAAAGAAACCCATAGTTAATAATGATTGGTTCTGTTGCTGTCTTTTAAGTTAATTAAGAAAAGAAGTAAACACTGCATTTTTGTTTTCCTGAACTGCATTTACCAGTATGTTTTCTTTGAGCAGGTTTGTATTACCATTAGTTTTCTTTCAGCCAAAAGTATTTCCTCTAGAACTTCTTGTGAAGCAAGTCAGCTAGCTACAACTTCACATTTCAGCCTTTATCTTTATTTATTTTGCCTTTATTTCCATATTATAATATCACTTCATACAAAATTCTTGTTTTTTTCTTTTAATACTTTTAATATGTCAGCCCACCATCCTCAATCCTCTATTATTTCTGAAGAGAATTTAGCTGTTTACCCCCCCCCCAATAGGGCACATGTGCTAGCTAGCGAGAGAGAGAAGGAAAATGAGAAATCACTCCCCAGGGGAAATTAACACACTGCAATCCCTTCTCTTCCATTTTCCTCATGGGATTTTAGACACACACACACACACACACACACACACACACACACACGTCCAGTGTGATTTTCAAGCTGCTGAGTCAGGGACTCAAACCAAGATCAGCTGTATGAGAATCTAATACCTTAATCACCATACCACTTGCTGGCCTGTAACTTAATACATGTATATGTATTCTGACTCCCTAATGACCAGCCATTCCATTTATTTTCTAGGACTCTGATTCTCTGAGATATAATAACATAAAAATTAGACCAAATAATAATCCCACAACAGCCTGTAAGTGTTCAAGTGAAATGAAGAGTCAGATGTCTTTCCCTTCAAATCAAAAGCTAGAAATAATTAAGCTCAGTGAGAAAAGCATGTCAAAAACCAAGACAGGCCAAAAACTGGGCCTCTTGCACCAGTTACTCAAGTTACATATGCAAAATAAAAGTTCATAAAGGAAATTAAAAGTGCTATTCAATGAAAACACATATGATTAAAAAGAGAGAGAGCACTAAACAATCTTACTGTTGATATAGAGAAATGTTTAGTGGTCTGGATAGAAGATCAAACAGGCCATATCATTTCCTTACACCAAAGCCTAATCCACAGCAAAGCTCCATCTCTCTTCAATTCTATGAAGACTAAGAGAGGTGGGGAAGCTACAAAAGAAAAGTTTCAAGCTAGCAGAGGTTAATGAAATTTGATAAAGAAGCTATCTCCGTTAACATAATAAGGCAAGTTCAACAGCAAATGCTGATGCAGAAGCTGCAGAAAGTTTTCCAAAAGATATAGATAGCTAAGATAGCTGATGATGGTAGCCCCACTTAACAAAAAAAAAAAAAAATGTAGACAATACAACCTTCTATTGGAAGAAGACGCCATGCCATCCAGGACTTTCATAGCTAGACAAAAGAAGTCAATGCCTGACTCCAAGGCTTCAAAGGGCAAGCTGACACTCTACTAGGGACTAATGCAACTTGTGACTTTAAGTCGAAGATAATACTCACTTACTATCCCCAAAATCCTAGTGCCCTGAAGAGTTATGCTAAATCTATTCTGCTGGTGCTCTATAAACAACAAAGCCTAGATGACACCACACCTATTTAAAACACGGTTTACTGAGTACTTTTCAGCTCACTGTTGAGACCTACTGCTCAGGAAAGAAAGATTGCTTTTAAAATATTATCACTCATTAACAACGCACTCGGTCACCAAAGAGCTCTGATGGAGATATACAAGGACATTAATGTTGTTTTCATGCCTGCTAACACAACATTTATTCTGTAGCCCATGGATCTAGGAGTCCTGCCTTTGAAGTCTTATCTAAGAAATACTTTTGATAAGTCTATAACTGCCATAGATAGGATTCCTCTGAGAAACTGGGAAAAGTAACATGGAAAATCCTCTAGAAAGGATTCACCACTCCAGGACATTAAGAATGTTTGTGATTCAAGAGAAGAGGTGAAAACATCGGCTTTAGCAGGAGCTTGTAAGAAGGTGATTCCAACTCCTCCTGGATGACTTTCAGAGTTTCAATTTTTCAGTGAAGAAAATAACTGCAGAAGTGGTGGGAACAAGAGAACCAAAAGTAGAGGCTGAAGATGGGACTGAATTGTTGCAATCTCATGATCAATCTTGAATAAAAAGCTGTTACTTATGGATAAACTAAGAAAGTGGTTTCTTGAAATGGAATCTACTCCTAGTGAAGATGCTGTGAACACTGTTGAAATAACAAAGAATTTAGAATATTAGGTAAACTTCATTCATAAAACAAAGGCAGAGTTTGAGAAGACTAACTTCAATTTTTGATAGAAAGTCTACTGTGGGTAAAATACTATCAAACAGCATCACATGCTACAGAGAAATTGTGAAAGAGTCAATCAATGCATCAGACTTTAAATGTTCTCTTACTTTAAGAACCGCCAGCCACCCCAATGTTAAGCAACCACCATCCTGATCAGCTAAAAGCCATCGACATCCAGATAAGTCCCACCACCAGCAAAAGATTACAACTTGTTGAAGATTCTAGTGATTAGTACTTTTGAGCAATAAATTAAGGCATGTACATTATTATTTTAGACATAGTGCTATTACACACTTAATAAAGTATAGTAAAATATACACATAACTTTTATGTGCACTGGGAAACCAAAAAATTTGTGTGACTCACTTTATCGTTACATTTGCTTTATTGTAATATTTGCTTTATTGCAGTGGCCTGGAACCAAATAATAATATCTCCAAAATATGCCTACAGCTACTTTGAAATATTGTCTGCTAGGTCCAAAATCTGGGCTCCCCCAGAGACAGTTTCTATTGACTGTTTGCTTTCTCCATGCATGGATCCCATTGCCCTGTGAAGTCTCATAAAATTTTTTTTAAAAAACTCAACACCTTAGAGAACATGCTACGGCAACTCTGGAATCTGTTCTCCTGGGAGTTGTTGGTTTTGTTTGTGATTAGTGACTTACCTGCACTCATTCTATAAAGTCTTATCTTCCCTATTATGTATAGCCAATGATATTTTTCCTCATTTTTTGGTCATTTTTATTTTCAAACCTGGCTCCTTAAGGGTCACCCTATGCTTGCATAGTTTAGTCTGTGTGTGGGTTAGGAAATATACTCAAAGCTCAGATGATTTATAAGTCTGAACACACGTTTATTTTCTGCTACACTTTCTCACCTCATATTCAGCCAGGTACAATGAGTAGGTACACTCCCTGATCTTTCTTGAGCCTGCACACAAGCCTTGCCCAGGTATCTTGCCTTCCAGACTGCAGGGAGTACATGTGAACTTATGAAGGTCCACTGTGTCTGTCTCATTCCCTAGATCTCCTGCTACATTTCTAATTCTGCTGGTTT